GAAAATAATGTGACTAAAACTCAGTTTGACAAAATAAGATTAGGTTAGACTATATATTTACATTTTTTTTATTATATTGAGACATGAATTACTTTCCCAGCCCAATAGGAAGAGCCTGATGGAGGTCCAGCGGTGATATTTTAGGGTTTTTTGGTGACTTCTTCTGGCTTCCTGTGCTCCTCTCTCACAGTGACCCATGTTTTTGGTTTTAGTTTGATTATTCTCAGCTTGTTGACTATTCTCCCCACGATAGAACTGCTGCTTTCTGCTTCTTTGAGACCTCATTGAATCCTTTAACAGACTGAAAGCTGCTTTAGTTTTCCTTCTGAAGGCCTGAGTCTGGATATTTCTGAGTCATGTAGATCAGATCAGATTTTATCGCGTATTTATTTGCCCTCCTAAGGTTGCAGATCCTTTGATTTTTAAAATCAATCCCACCCTTTGACTACTTTTAATTATTTTCTTTAAATAATAGCTGCTTATGCATTTTAAATTAAAGCTCTTTCATTTTTTATCATTTATATTTTTTGGAAGATTATGTGGAGCTGCTGATCTTTAACTTAAAGTGATCAAACCATAAAAAGCTCAATCAATGCCTCGCCTTTAGAGTGGCTTAGATATGTTATAGATAAAAAAGCTATTTATTAATAATTCTATTATTGCACACATCTAACATATTTCCTTGTTTCTTTGGTCTTAAACCGTCTCCTTTCAATTAAAGATGAAGAATAGTTGTGTTGAATCCCTGAGAGACAAAGAAGAGGCAGTTTCTCAGGCAGCCATCTTCATGTTAGTCAGTTTAAACAGAGCAGCTTATAAAGGCCTGAGTTATAACCTGTAAAGTTTGCCCTTAAAGACCTCCGTTTCCCCTCTGGAGCCCAGCCAGCAGCTTTCTCACAGGCTGCCAGGAGTTTGGTACAGAAACACATCCTCGTTTCCTCGTTTGACTCTGCCCGCTGGAAAAAAAAACCCCGCTTCCACATGTGGACGTTCATCAGGCGTTTGCTGGAAGAAGAAAAAAGCAGAAGAGGAGCGTCTCTCAGCGCGTAAATAGAATTGTGTAACATAGAAGTTGGAACACGGTGAACCAGTGTGTGCTCGTGGTTATCTGCTGTTTTGCTTTCAGAGCAGCTGCCTCTTTCAGCTGAAGCTTTTATTCTCTCATATTAGTGCTCACTTGACTTTAGGAAACCCCCCCCCCCAAAAAAAAAGAAAAGTCAGAAGGAAATAATTAGAAAACGTGGTCTAGCTCTAATTTCTATTGAAGTCTTTGACAAAAAAACCAAAGTCACCAAACTGCTGAAGAACATTTTATTTTTTATCAAGAAAATGTTTTATCCTTAATGACCTTTGATCTCAGTGAACCACTTCTCTCAAACATCTCATCTTCTACAGATCTTCTTGTTCTTTTTTGTTAACAAGCAGGGGCGGATTTAGGAAATTTAAGGCCCTAGGCAACAGCAGGCAGGGGCCCCTCTGAATGGAGAAGACATCAAACAGCCCCATTCTCCAGATAGATAAATGTTAATAGAATAGACATCCATTATCTGTTCTAGGTTGTGTCCCTCTCTTCTTGTCCCTTTTCTTCTTGTTTTCCTCTCTATGTTTTGTACTCAGCTGACTTTTCATGCTGTCTCTAAAGGAATGAAAGATTTTTTCCAAGCACTAAGCTCACTTAGCTGATTGCTCCTTCCTGTGTTTCCAAAAAGGCCAAAGTAAATAACCCAGTCCTTCTTTTCACTGTAGACAAGCCATGATCTGCTTATTTGTTCTCCATTTTTCATTTGGATGAAATAATAGCTGCATGAATCATGACAGCAGACAAGATAGAGGAGAGCAGGAGGCGGGGTTACCAATCTACTCGCTCTGGAGAGCAGAGTTCTCTGCTTTTAGATGTTGTCTCCAAAGTCTCCAGTAGCAGAAAAAAGTCTCTAGATTTGGTGCTAGGAGCTTTTTAGAAATCAAAGTGCTAGAGGGGTCTGAAAAGTGGCTAAATATAGCGACTAAAGCGCTAAGTTGGCAACACTGCTCTTTGCATGGTTTGTTTTCAAATGGTTTGCTGCTGTCTGTTTGGACCTTTCTGAACATGTGCAGCAAATGGACTGATCCAATATGGCGGACACCGAAGACACTTAATATTATCAGCGTTCTGATGGCATTTTAGCAGAAATATTTTTATCAAGACATAATTAATGTAATAAGGAATAATTGTATTAACCATACATGTAAAAGGAGGTTTATGGGGCCCTCAGGAACCTGGGGCCCTAGGCATCTGCCTAGTATTGCCTGATGGTAAATCTCCCCCCCTGTGGGACGGGGTGAGGATGGGGGACACGCCTCCCTCAGCATCCTGATTGGTGGACTAGATCCTGCCAGAACAATCAGATCTATTTACCTCTTTAATGGACCTGGTGATGAATAGAAAGAAACATACTAGATTGGTCAGAACTCTTTATATGATAAATGATTTTGTTTGTATCTCTATGAATAATTTCTGAGATTGTTAGAATGTGTAGATTGATGGCTTCAGAAAATTCCTTAACAAGGAGATGCTTTAAAGAAGGGAGGGGCAGCTGTTAGTGACAGGCGACCCAGCGGTTTGCCATGCTGTCATTCATCTATCTGGACTCTTTGATGCTTATTGCTTCACAATCTACTCAATTCTTCAATTATCAATGTTGCTTATTCACATTTTGTATCACACTTTTTTCTTTCACTCAGCTTCCCTGTTACAAGCTGTGATTCTGCATATTTAAACGATGTGTAGAATATCAGTGCCGGTCTCCTGGACGTCGGTTCCAAACCCTATGTCACGCTGCACTATCCCAATGAAAGTCCTAATGTTGGAGAAATGGGATTAAAGGAAAATAATCAAAAGGGTTTGGAAGCTAACGGCACATTTTGGACACCTCTGTTGTAAAGATTAAAATCAAAGCAATGGTGCCTATTCTATTTTAAATCTATTTTAAAAATATTCCATGTTTACAGAATGAATTGTGTGTTTTGTTGTTTTTCTTTCATATTCAGTTTTTTTTATCATCAGTCAGTCATTAGCACTAACTATGGCTCCCAATAAACATCATTTTCCTGATCGATTATAGTGGATAAAACTTCCAATTGATCTATTATAGGTCAAAGAAAAATAAATAGGGAAATAAATGAAGGAAATAGAACAGAGTAGAGTTAGAATGGCCACTGGGGCATATTAACAGACAAAGACAATATTTTTTTACAGGTTCTATTTGATTATTGCTATTATTTAGTTGTTCTTTAAATAAAGGCCGAGTCCGTATTCTTCAGGTAACTCCAGGTATCAAGGCTGCTGTAAGAGCTTTGCTCTTTGAAAAATCCTTTGAAATCACACCTGTAGTTACCTGATTGGTTCTAACCTGTGTTATGCAATAACTTTGTACTTACTTTTGTACAAATATGTTGTTTAAATAAAAAACTTTCTGACTGTCATTGGTGATCTGTGAAAACACGCCAAACTGGCTCCCAACCGTTACCAAGGTAACACAATGTCAGAGAGGATCAAAGTTTATCTGGTGTTTTTTAATTAGATCAAATTAGCTTTAATGAATTCAGAGCAACTGGAATGTGTTCAAACCAGTTTACAATGCAAATCCAAGGAGATGAAATACATATTTAATATTTATTTGAATGATTTGCCTGTATAAAAAAATCTTTGTTTGATTTGTTTTTGCTGAAGGAAAAAATAAAGATGCTAGGATGACCTAGCTTCTTTAGCTTGGTTGGAACATGGAACAATGGAGCCAGTAGGAAGCAGACATGAGTAGAGTCAATTAAAACATAAGCTTGTTTGGCCATACAGGCAATCAAATTAATATGCATAACAGGAAACACACACATGTTAACATTATATTTAGTTTTTAAACCCTTAGTGAAATAAAGTTGATTCAAGCTTTATAAAAACAGCTCAAGTCACCAGCATGGGGTCCCATGGGGTCATTAGCTTTTTTTAACTTCCAAAAACAGAAAGAAAGTTAAAATCAATCCTCTGGACTTTGTTTCCAAGTTTGAAGACGTTTCTCTTCCATCCAGGAAGATTTTTCAATTCCAAATGTCAGAAATAGCGTTTAGTTCCAGGTTTTATCCAGCAGCCCAACAAAGCCTGGTTTTAGTTTAGAAAACATCGAATAGAAACGGATGAACGGGTCCCCCCCTTTGGAATGGGGGTCATTTGGCTTCTTTGTTAGCCTGCAATGCCCCATACCTGTCTATGTCTCTGAAAGGGGGGTCGTTAGAGGGAATAGTTGGCCTGGCTAATTAGGCAAAGTCCCCCGCTCTTCTGTACAGGGGCTGCGATGATAGCTTACTGTACACTGCAGTGAATACATGAAGTTGTTAAAAAGTATACATAAAAACAAACTGTTGATCTCTGCTGTGGACAGCTAAGGCATCCCAGAGTTCAGGAACGTTTAGCTCAGGCTGTGCAGCTGAGCGGGTCTTTTTCTCTGTGGTCTCCTGGATCCACGTCTGGAACTTCAGAGTAATTCCTGTAAACCCAGGATTTTACAGAATCTCCTGATTTCACATCAGTTGTTACTGTTTTCTAATCCTGGGATTTAATGATCGTCTTCAGGTGAAGCCAACGTGTTTAAGCGAGGCAGAGATGTTTTACTCAAAATGGGTTTTTTGAAGAACTGATTTCAGCTTTATTTGACCTTTACTGACCTTCGAGGTGCGGCTCTTTTAGAAATTCCCCCCCAGCACAGTTCCACCTCCTCTCTTCAGATTGCCTGACCCTGTGGGCACAACATGGAGAGGTTCACATTTCTCTGTAAAATGAGCAGAAATAAAGCATTAAGTGTGCCGTCCATGCTGCTGCTAAAATATATGTAGACATTGTTGAAATAATGCCTGAATGTTTTAAACACTTTGTCTTCTTTCATCAGATTCCTGTGCAAAATATACTGTAACTGTTCTTATTAAAATCCTCTGTAAGGAAGATAAAACGGTAAATATTTTCTCTGTTTCAGGGGATATCATCTTCAATGCTCAATATCCTGAATTACCTCCAGATTTCATTTTTGGTGAAGATGCAGAGTTTCTTCCTGAACCTTCTGAGCTACCTGTGAGTAAAATCCTCATTTCTTTGCCATCAAAATGTGGATATTTTCTTCCAAAGTTTATATCTTGCTTGCATTAAGCTTTAAGTATTAAAGCGCAGATTCTTTTCTTTCATAACTCGTCGACTTTGTGGTGATTTCAGGCATTTCTCCAGGTATCTCTGTTAAATTGTGACTCACTATAAAATAGTCTAAAGAGGAGTAATGAGCTGTAATTCCTCCTAACCGAAGCAGAGCACAGATCATTAATACTCATATTTATATTTAATAGCTTCTCTTCTTTGTGTTAATGGACATCTTCCAGGAAACACACCTGCAGTTCTTGGTTTTCCTATCTTTTATTTCTTATTATCTTATTTCTGTTTGAATTTGTTTCTAGGAATCCATTTGTTTGAGTTTTTTCTTTTAATCAAAAAAAGAAACTTTTTAGGACAATTTTTACAGGCATGCAAACATTAGCAGAGCGGCTGAATAAGTCCACATATTTCATTTTCTAAAGAATCAGGCTTTCATAGAGGCTGGGAAGGCTTTCTTCAACCTGCTTGAAATTTGGGTTATTTTATGTCACAACCGTCCATTTATTTAATTGTAACTTTAAGTCACAAAGAATTATATCATTGTGAAAACTCAGTGGTTATACATTAATTATTGCTCCATATAGTGAATATAAGCTGCTGCATCTAATTAGCTTCCCAGCTCACCTGATTAATAAATGAGGTGTAGCTTTTTTGGCCAACTTGAAAATAACATGTTTGGAGTAAAACATTGTTGTGAAACATAGTGGTGGGGGAATCATGCTTTGGGAATGGAGTAGGGCAGAAAACAATCGGATTAATCGATTATTGAAATAATCATCAACTAATTTAGTAATCGATTAATCGTTAACTGGAGATTAGAGACTCTAAATGCTAACAGAGCAACTGACCTTGAGCAGCAATGATACTAAAATTGTGAAAAAAAATGTAAACATTTTGCATCTAAGATTAAAAAACGTTTTCGTCTCCCAATATGTACTTTCCAGAACTCCACAAGTGGAGAAGTTTTAGTTTCTCCTGGTTTAACTTGTAAAAAAAAAATCTTCTTTAAGGAACGTTTTGCAATCCGAATATTAATGGATTAATTGAAAAAATAATCGACAGATTAATCGATTTGCAAAATAATCGTTGGTTACAGCCTTAGGTTGGAGCTAATTGCAGTTTGATTCTGCAAGAGGAGGCAAAAAATTTGAGATTTTAGAGCAGAATCACCTTCCTGCAAGAAAAAAGACCCTAAAGCAGAGGTCACGGATTAGCGGACCGCGGTCCGGATCCGGACC